TACAGCAACACTCATTACTACAATAAAAATTATTAAAGAGCAACTATCTGCACAGGCTGTAGAAGTGAGTTATTTATGATGGATCGTACAAATATCAGATTCCTTGGATTTATTAATACAAGCCAAATATACCTGTTTGATAGTTTTGATCTTTTATGTACAGTATATGGTTTTAAACAAGCAATTTTGGCTATTTACAGAACAAAAACTATTAAGATTTAAAAGCCTTCTAAGAGGAATCATGATAAAAAAGTCTTTTGAAATCTAAATATTCAATTTCAAAAGTAAAACTATTATACTGTTAGACAATGACAGAGCAGAACATTCAATACTTTAAAATGAAGAGTTTTTAGTTCTCTGTTCTATGTACATTGTTTATATAGCTAATTAAAAATAATCTTGTTGGAGGAGACAGGAACCTCTATTTGACCAACCACTACTATGTTCACCTATTGGAGATAAGCAATGCATATTTGCCTTATCAGAAAAACAGGTACTGTATAAACCTCTCCAATGATTACCTTTATAAAGATAATTTATAATTAGTTTATTCTATTTAAACTACTTGCACCATAAAGCACAAAATTACAATCATTGCCTCTTGCACTTTGAGGCAGGAGCACATCCATCTTGTCAAGGCCAGGTTTTCATTTTGATGGCCATTTTGAGGTTACGGGAGCCAGAGAATTTGAAGGTGGGAAAAAAGGATTACTTGTATAGTAACCATTGTTCTCTGAGATGTATTGTGCACATATGCATTCTGCTGCAAGTACCTATGCAGAATGCTCTAGAGTCAGACTTTTGTCATCAGTACCTTTTAGGCAGCACACTAGCCACAACATCATGAACTAAGTTTGATGAAATCACCTCTTAATTTAACTAATAACCTTAACTATTAAAAATCTGCGCTTTATTTCTAGGGATGTGAAAGATGAAGGAGCAACTGAGAGGGGCTGCTCTGGCAGGGGCTGAGAGCCAAGAGCCAGCGGCAGGGCCCGCCCTGAGAGCTCCCCTGCCCACAGTAGAACCCGCACCCCATTGTGATGATTGGGGGCTGGGAGCCAGCAGCTAGCTGCAGGATGGGGCTGGGATGGGGAGCCCTATGGGCTGAGGGCTGCTCCAGCTAGGCTGCAGCTGTCCTCACCTCAGATCCTGCTTTAGTTGATTAACAGGTTAACTGGTATTTTACATCCCTTCTTATTTCTAGTCTGAATGCATCTAACTTAAGCTTTTATCCACTGCATATTCTTATGCCTTTATTTTCTAGATTAAAGAACTCTTTCATCAGAAATCTTGCCATTTAGGTCAAGGGTGGGAAACCTATAGCTCACAGGCCAGATCTGACATGCTGCTTCATTTAATCCGGCCTGCAGTAAGTCTCTGTGCCAGGGGATGGAAATCCTGAGCTTCGATGTCGCCCTATGGGGCTGACGTCACAAGTGCTGGTTGGCTGGCATGTCCATGCGGCCCATAAATAGAGGGGTGATCAGGGAAGCTACCTGTGCTTCTCCCACTCCCAGCGCAGACTCCACAGCTCCCATTAGCCAGCCAACTGATTTTTTTCTATGGGTCAATGACCCCAATAGAAAAAAGTTCGCCACACCTGACTTAGGTACTGATGGACTATATTCAAGTCACCTCTCAACCTAACAAGATAGACATATTGGCCTTCCTAAGCCTTTCACTGCAAAGCAAGTTTTCCAGACCTCAGATCATCCTTGGAGCTCTTTTCAATTTTTCAACGTCTTTTTAGAAGTGTGACGTATTATTCTAGTAATGGTTTCATCTATGTTTCACCTATATTGCCATACTATTTCTACTGGATAGTCTCTTGATTACAGAGCCAAGAATCATATTAGTCCTCTCAATCACAGCATCATATTGGGAGCTCACATTCAGTTGATTAACTACCATGACCCCAAGGATCAAAATGCTTTGTTTCTAGATGTATGACCTTATATTTGGCTGTATTAAAAACACATGTTCAAATTCCAATCATTTAGATATTTATTCATCTAGTAACATGGAACTGTCATCATTTGTCACTCCAGCAATTTGATTATCACCTACAAACTTTGCTAGCTTTTTTTTTCTTCCAAAGAGTAAACAAAAATACTGAATTGCACTGGGCCAAGAATAGGTTCCTGGGAACGTCAATGCCACCACACAATTTGGATGATGATTCCCTAACTACAATTACCTTTGATCTAAAAAAACCTGTCTGTTGACCTGTTTTTAATCTATTTAATATGTGGTGCACTGAATTTGTAAAGTGTCAAGTTTTAAAATAAGGCCTGGATAAGCTGTGTGATTTGGTCTCTGAGCAAAAAGTACTCCCTTTAATTTTTCACAAGTACATGAACTCATTATTTTATCAGTGTTTATAATTATGGATTTTAGGGATCCTTCAGGATGAAGAACTGGTGGAATTTTACTTCTGTAACCGTAAGTCACATTCCCTGAAGCACATTCACTTTATGTGTCAAGATAACGTGTATTCCGATTACAACTCATGACATACATGTAAGTTTTCCCATTTTTTTTTGTTGACAGTGATGCAAGTCTCCTTATTCCTTAAATAATATCTCGGTATAGTATGCTGCCATAGGATTTGCTGTACTATTTTAATGTATTGCTGAATTTGACCTCTCAAAGGTCCATAGAATTATGATTAAAAATGAGAATACACAGGACCCTTGTATTATTTTATGGATGCTAACATTTCTACAAGTTATTAAAGCAAGAAAAAGGATAGAGGATTTACAGATTTGCTATCATCAACAAAGTCTGAATTAACATTTCTAACTAACTGAACCAATTCGTATCATTTTCCAGATGGCTATTTATACATTTTAAACTGTTTCTGCATTTCTGGCACTGTTTCTTTGTATAAGACAATTAATTTCCTTGACTACAGATTGAGAGTTCCAGCCAAATTCATTCACGTGTTTTTTTAGACTATGTACATCTTCAGTAGAAAACCTACTTAATCCCTGTGACATAAGTTTTGTTCTAAAATTCTCAGAGTCACATCATAAATTAGAAAATGATGTAATATAATGGATTTTCATCCTCTTGGTAATAAAATGTCAGCACATTAGTCACTGAATCAAGTCAATGAATCAATGCTATGCCAACACAAAATCTGTCAGTGTAGGCGGTTTTGTGTGATATCTGCTACACCTCATCTAGCAGCAAGGTTGACACCAGCCTCCACAGACATTGACATAAAATGTTTGAACATATGCCACTTTTACTGAAATGGAGATTTAATGTGTGTGGTCAATGGTGGCTCTTAAGTCTCTGACACAGCATAACAGATTTTCCTTCAATAAGCCACAAAAGCACAATGCGAAAAAAGGAACATTTGACTTGTTCAAGGCCAACAGGCTAAGAAAACTATTCAAACGTAGTTGCCTTTTCAATTTATAGTATCAAAGATAGACCAAATGTAACTGTTCAAAGTCATTTTCATTAAACTTCACCAAGAGATTTTTTTGTTGAATCATATCTGGCAATTATAGTACAGGTTGTACCTCCCTTAACCAGGATTCCTTGGTCTAACAACATCCGTGGTCCAGGATGACTCAGACGGGAGCCCAGAGAATGTGTGTGGGGGGGGGGCGGGAAGCGGAGAATGGACAGCACAGCAAGGATTTCTCCC